CTTAGGGCTCCTGGTAGATGAAAAACAAAACGTGAGCCAGTCATGTTCACTTGCAGGCTGGAAGGTCAACAGTATCCTGGGTCGCATCAGAAGAGATGATTGTCTCTCTCTACTCTGCCTTTGTGAGGCACTGTCTGCATTACTGTGTGCAGGTGTGGGACCTACAACTCAAGAAGGATGTGGAGATGTTGGAGAGGGTCCAGAGGAAGGCCACAAAGATGATCAGAGGGCTGGAGCACCTCTCCTATGAAGACAGGCTGAAGGACTGGACTTGGTTAGCTTGGAGAAACAAGGGTGTGGGGAGACTTCATTGTGGCCTTCCAATATTTAAAGGGAGATTATAAACAGGAGGGAAATCAACTTTTTACACAGATAGATAGTGGTAGAACAAGGGGCAATGTTTTTAAACTAAAGGAGGGGAGATTTAGATTAGATGTCAGGGGGAAATTTTCTACTGAGAGAGTGGTGAGGTGCTAGAATAGATTGCCCAGAGAGACTGTGGATGCTTCATCATTGGACATTTTCAAGGCCAGGTTGTATGGGGCCTGGACAATCGGATCTAGTACTTGATCTAGCATTTGGCAGCCCTGCCTATGGCAGAGGTGTTGGAACCTGATCATCCTTGAGGTCCCTTCCAATCCAAGCCATTCTATGATTCTGTAATTCTATGACATAGTGTGGGTGTGCTGTCAAAGAGAACATCAGATGTCTAAAAAGTCCTTTCCTACCTGCTATATAAAAGCAGAAGTGCAGTGACATCTTCTACAGGGTGTGGTGCTGAACTGGTGTAAAGGATGTGAGGGTTATTAACTTCAAAAAAGGTTTTCAGGACAAGATGAAGCAACTTGGCAGCTAAACAATTTGGAGTGCTGATGGAAGGACTCTACAGCCATGGATCTAGTCAAGTTACTATAGACAATCTGTAAAAAAATGCCCACAGTTCAGTAACATTTAAAATTAATATACTGTTCATGGAGGTGACAGAACTGTTTGAACTGCAGGCTGAACTCTCCTGACTTAATCTGTGCTTTGCTTGGTTTAAGCCAGCTGAGCTCCGTGAGGAGTTGGGTTGTCTTTGGGCACTACATGTGTCAGGATTTTTTAAGTTGGTGGTAGTGAGTGTTATTTCTTTTGTTTGTTTGTTCATTTTGTTCTTTGTTCTTTTTTTTTTTTTTTTTTTTTGGCCCAAATTTCCTGTAGTTTGATTAAGCCTTTCTGTACTAATTACATTCAGATGCTTTTGTCAGTTCAGAAGCAGCTTTCTGCCAGTGTCTGGAAACCCTTACAGCTCATTGTGAAAGGTGATCAGAAGAGAAGAGAATATGCCTTTAGTTCATTTACATCAACACTTTATGCCTCTTGAAGGACCATCCCAAAGTGACTTTATCTCAGCCTCTATGCCTAGCTCTGGGCTGATCCTTTCCAGCTACAAACAGGACTTGCGGAAGGAAAATGATATTAGCAGTTATGCTCTTGATGTATTCTTCAATGAGTATGTATGGAAGCAAATGTAATTCTCTCTCCTGACACTTAACCAAGACACTCAGCTTAATATTGCTCTTTTTGTGAAGAGTGAATTCTTCAGATACTGTAAGAAACTTTACATGAGACACAAACATCTCTTGCAGCACAGTGCCCCCTAGCACTGTCTCTACACATTCGTGCACGACTGAGAGAAGAAAGCCACTTTACTCAGCCAACACCTGCAGGACATGGCTTTCCCTGGGAAATTTCACACCAACTATTGACCCAGCCCAGTCATGCTTAGCTTGTGGGATCCGACAAGATCACAGCATGAAGTGGTGTGGCTGCCCAGTAAAGCAGAGAGTTCCTTAATTGTGTTCAACAGTGTGTTCTTGGTGGTGGACTGAAATAACATAGATTTCTTTATTTGGTGACATAAATCAAATGTGAACTCTAATTTTCTCATATGAAGATCAAGGTCTTTATTTTCTCCTTCTTTACTTGCCATGTTTTTAATGGCCATATAAGGCTTAAAGTTTTGTCTAGCCAAAGGAGCCCAATGCTAGTTAATTTTGTTTTTCCCTCTGCAGTTACTCCCACACAGACAGGGCATGGGGTGGGGACTCCGAATGAGTTTTCCTTTCAGTTCCTTAATTGACTTTGTGTTACTTTGACCACATAACAAAATTTTCTCATATAAATAAATAAACAGAACTCTTTCCTGGCTATTCCAGAGTGTATTTTAGTGATAGAGCTCAAAACGGAGAGGCTAATATTGAACATCTAATAGATACAATCAGAGGATAATACATAATAGCTCTATTTATGAGGAAACTAATATATAAGCAGGTAAAATGATTTAACAGAGGCCTCCTAGCAGGCCATGGGCCAGACTGAGCTTTCCCGAGTACTATTTACCTGTGATTTGCAATGATAAAGCACTCTCATTTCTGTGTATGCTAAGTGGCAAATAAATACCATTATTGCACAATATCCAGGTCCCACTGGAGTGTTATTATTGCATAGTATCCTGCATCCCTACTACTAAAGGAAAGTTCAACTCTTTGAAATGGAATACCTAGGTGTCAAAAAAGCAGACAAATGAGCTAAGTCCTTCCTGTTCAGATACAGGTACACACCTCTCAAATTGCAGCAAAGACCGTGGTTCACCATGACACACCAGACAACCAGAGCATCATCCCTTCCCAACAGCTGTGCCTTGCCACTAGGTCAGACTGCAGCACTCCTTTTCAGCATGGTAAGTAACTGCAGATTACTTCGCTGGGTTACATCTGAAAAGTTAACTAGTTCCTGTAATCAGCACAAACTTGGTTTTACTTTAACGAGCTTAGTCAGTCCCAATGTAAACAAGCCTGAAGGAAGGAACCTCAGTAACTTCTAGCCCTCTTCTTTCTCCCTTTGCAGAAAGCAGGGTGAGGGTTTTTCAATCTCCTCTGGATGTGTCCCGTGTCTGTGCATTACAGGCACTCAGTGTTTACGCAACACCCAGCATCTTCAAAGCTTGTTATAAAGTATTCAGCTTGCTAGTCCTCGGAACACACCAGAGAGGTGTTATTACAGACATGAAGAAACCTTCTCAGAGGATCTATTTGGACAGGTGGTGCTGGAGATGTGATTATAATCTAGTTGTGTGGAGGCCAAAGTCTCACTTATTTACACCAGTGTCAGATTGTGGAATAATTCTGTTTCTCTCAGGTACTGATCTGAGATGCTGATAGATCAGGTGCATCATGATGTTGGTGATATCAAACTTTTTAACAACAATAAAGAAAAAACGAAAGTGCCAGACACACCTCATTTTTCTTCCGTGTTTCTCTGCTGAGATCAGTGGAATTGTTCCTTGTTTACACTCAGTGTGATTGAAGTGACAGCCCAATCTGACAGATTCAACCTCAGTCCTAGTACGTGGAGCTGACAGCCCAAATACCTAAGGAGCTTTTTGCATGGGGTTTCTCATATTGTAATTTGAATCCAAATGATTCTGACACTAGCATGCCTACATCTAATATCCTGTTTAATGTCCTGATTCATGTGTACCTGTATAACCTGTTATCACCTCAACACCATCTGATTTTTTTCACTGCATTCACTAACACACATTCCTATGAAGCTCCATCGCCATTACGCCAATTACACAGACAGGGATTTGAAGCACAGTGAGGTGAATCTGTCACACAGGCTGTCCGTGTCACAGCAAGGAGAGGAACCTACATTTCTGTAGAGCCAGGAACTGGATTTGATGTTCCTTATGGGTCCCTTCCAACTTGGGATATTCTATGATTCTATGACTTCTGCTGTTTGCTTTGTTATTTTGATAGCCACTTCAATCTTTTGTATACCTTTGCCCTAAATGAGAGCCTGTTTCCACGAGACTGGATGCTTTAATTTTATAGGGGTGGTATGATTAAAGAAAAGGTGTAGGCAGACTGTGGTTCACCCAGATGGAGCAGAATTGTAAATCTACAGGCTTAGCTGACTAGAAATTTAGGACAGCTGGTCCCTGGCCTTTAATACCAGCATCATTTATAACTAGACATGCTTAAATCTTGTAAACCCCACAGAAAGTACTCTGACATTACATACACTGGTTTGATACAGTGATTAATCACCCCTCGGTCCCCTCTGCAGGATAATAAGGCTGTCTGCATCCTGCAGCTGGCAATCTCCTTCCTTGCTGTCCCAGCTCTACTATAACGTTTACATTTCTCCGACTGATAGAAATGTACTGTTCCAAAAGGGGATAAGGGAAAACAAAACAAGCAGGACTTTTCTATAAATTCCTCTAAAGCCGCTCTGCTAAAATACACTTTGAGATTAAACGTTGGGAGTGTCTGGGTAGATGCAACACTGCTTTCCCCAGCTCGAGCCCTTGCTGACTGTCATCCTGAGGACGAGTGGTGGGGAGGCAGGAGAAAGGGCACTTGGGCAGGATGAAGGGCCACAGAACACCATCCTGGCAAGGGGTTCAGCTAGCACCTCTCCCCATCCTCCTTTTGCTGCTTACTGAAGGAGGAAAAGCGGTGAGGTGCTGCTTTCCTGAAAACCCTTCGCAATGCCGTTTCCTTCCATCTCCCGCAGCCAAAAGTCAGCTTACAGACAACTGACATGGCTGTAAGAAAAAACACCCCGAGCTCTGCGAGCAAAAAGCAACTCCACGAGCGTGTGAGGCGCCTCTTTCCTCTCGTGAGGGGAGGCAGAGCCTGGCTGGGGCGGACGGGATTGTGTGGGGACACAGCCGTGCAGGCGGTGGTGGATAACTCAGGGGTACAAATGCTTTCATTTTTACAAGCCGCAGCCCCTTCTCCTCAGGGGGACTTTTCCCCTGGGGCCCCTACCTGCGCCACCAACCTAACTCCCTCCCGCTCGCGGCGCTCCCCGCTCTATTCCGTATAAGGCGCTGAAGCCGCGGCCACCGCCCCGCCCCGTCCCGCTGGCCTCTCCCGCCGATGAGGTAATGCGGGGTTCCTATTGGTCGGCTGCGGCGGCGCCCCCGGAGCCCGAGAGGGCGCGATCGAGGCTATAACTCGGCTCACCGGGCAGCGCGGCACAGCTCGGCTCGCTTCGGCCCCGCTCAGTCGTGCAGCGCTGCGCACTCGGGCTTGCTCCGTGCCGCCGAGCGAGGGCTGCGCTACCGAGGCCGAGAGAGAGGCGGTGTGAGAAAGTAGCGAGCGAGCTGCGAGCAGGCGAAGCTCGAGTCAGGCGAACAGAACAGCGACTGCAGCTCGAAGCGCACCCCGGGACAGGCAGCATGACGGCGTGGCTCGGCTTCCTCGCCGTGTTCCTGTGCAGCTGGAGCCTGCGGGACCTGGTGGCGGAGGCGTGCACTTGCGTCCCCATCCACCCGCAGGACGCGTTCTGCAACTCCGACATCGGTGAGTGGCTCCGTCCCAGGGCTGCGGGGCTGCTACCTGCCCGCAGCGGGGCGGGAGGGAGCGTCTCGCCGTGGGGCGTCCCGCACCGCTCCGTTAGCGTGGGGCGGGGGGGAGGGCGGTCGGGAGCGGCAGCGGGGAGCGCTGGGGAGACGGGGACGGGTGTCACCGCGCCTTTGGGACGCTCTGTCTTCGTGGGGTGGGCTCTTAAGCGTGCGGACGCGGGTGTTTTTGGAAAGCTGGAGCTCTTCGCTTGGCGCCCCTTGCTGTGGGGTTGAGCATCCCTACGGTCAGCCCTGCGCGAACTTGAGATAGGGGACACACACGCTGTCTCGGGACTAGAGTTTCCATTACCTCTTCGTCCAAGTTCTCTATTTTGTTTGTAGCTGAGGCTCCTTAGCCAAATACGGTTGCTGTTTGCTAAGCGGCAAGGAGTACGAAACCCATTAGTGGTGTCCTCTGAGCTGCAGCCGGACACGTGTCCTCCTGACAGTCCGCACGGGCTGTCACCTCGGCAGCTGTGAGCGGAGTGTGTGCATGGAGTTTTCTTGCACCTCCATCGGTTGTTGTAGTAGTGTGGTGTTTGGGGGGGCTGCTGGTTCCCACTTGTCACCAACCCCAAGCGGAGTCTGCAAGGAAACCCTCCAAGTGGCTCCTTTGGAAGTCAGAGTACAGTTCTTGCTACAAACCCTGCCAGTGACTTTGCTTCTAGCCAAACTTACTGGCTGTTCTGTGCAAAAGCTGTGGCTGCGTGTCGTTGTTCAGTTCTTGTTTCTGTAGAGCCTGTCTGAATGCCAGAAGAAAACATTACATGTTAAAAGTGCTGGGAAGGCTCCGTTTGCCTCAGTGATGAGAGCCTGGAAAATATTTATAGAAAAGTTTTAGAGTGGGGAATCCTTCCAGGAAACTGCGGTTGAAAGTTCTGTTGAATATCTGTATTTCTGCCTCTGTTTTTCAGTTTGGGTTAACAAGCGTGCCACCCGAGTGGCAGCTGTCAGGGAGCTTGTCCTTTGTGACAGTAAGGATGGGAACCCACTTTTCTGCAGCTAAAGCTGCTGATAGCACATGGCCTTCATTTGCTGTATTTTGGGAGACCTCCTTTCGTGCTCTGGTTAGGTCATGTTGTAGTAGATTAAAACCTACTTAATTTTTAAGAAAACTGATACTGAATAAGTTTTTGTTACGAATGCACACCGATGCCAGTATATTTTTGTCAATGTGTAATGACTAGGAGCAGAATAAACTATTTGTATTGTTTCATACAGCAGCGCTCCTCAACTTTAGGGCAGGAAGTTTTCCTGTTTGTTGCTCTGGTTTCTGGTTGAGTTCAAAGTCATGTCCTTCATCTCCCGTCTGTCTATTCTGGAGTCCTTGTGTCTCATGCCTTGGCTTTTTCACAGGTGTGGCATTCAGAAGGTTGATGTCAGTGGGGTCATCCTGCCTTCAGACACGATGGTAATGCTGAGATGCATGTGGGAAGAGAGCAGCTCATGTTATAGGATGACTTAAATGCAAGTTTGGTTAAGACTGCAATTTTGCGTGATAGGTTGAAGCAAAAGTAAATCCTTTGCTGAATTTATTAGAACTGTTAGAAAATGCAATGCTTCTGCAGGTTGATCTTAGTGCACGCTGTCATGTTCTTCATGGCAAAAAGCATGTTAAAGCCTTCTGGCTGTGAAGGAGTTAACCATTTCCATGGAAACTGGTGGCAGTGTACTGGTGTAGTGTTTGGACAGACTGAACTACACGCTGGGTTATAAAACACATTGCAAGGAAGAAAGGGACTTGGCAGCAAGTTTTTATCGCTCTTGAAACTCCTGACAAAATACCGGCTCAGAAGGGAGGAGTCAATGCTGTAAGGGCTGGAGCAGAAGAGCGTTTTAAAATAGCTCCTAAAACAATACAAGGAATTAACTAGCTAGGTGGCAGCCTAGGAGAGGCTTTTCATCTTTGGAAGCTCTGAATGCTGAAGGAGATAAGAGTTTAGCACTAATACAAAGTCTTGCTGCTGGCTTTTTGAGCCTAGGCAATGAAGTCCTACTCTCGCGTTTATTCTCTTCCCCTCTGATCTCACATCATTAGACACTTAGATTTTGATTTTCCCATGGCTCAGTTCTGATACAGCCTCCCAGCTCTGCAGTCATTAGAAGGCTTTAATCTCTGCAGAAACAGATGCTCAAATAAACCCATTGGAAAGGGCAGCCCTTCAGGATGTACGTCCTATGCATGTCAAAGTGAGCTTTTTAAAGCAAGTTCACACAATTTTACTTTCTTCCTCTAAAAAATAAAGAAGAGAAACCACTCCCAGACTGATTAAAAAGGGTCATTTTTTCTCAGTCTGAATGTTGCAGAAAGATGAAGAGAGCAAAAGTGAAGAGGTGTGTCTCATCTGACCCCTTGAGGTCAATCAATAAAAAAATTGTTTAACTCCTGGCTTTCTTTCTTTAAGAGGATCAATAAGTGCCAGAACAGACAGTACAATAATTAGACAAACAGCAATCCTATGACATGCCATCTGAACTTTGCTTCCTCCCCTCCCACCCCCTGCCTTCGACCCCTTCCAGATGTGAATATTTTTCTTTTGTTTGAATTAAGAGACCTTTTGAAAGAACAGACACCAGGCATGCTTTGTTCCATTGTGACAAAGCCGTGACATTTCCAGCAGGACATAGCTGACATGAAAAGGGCTTGTTTGTCCTTTTTTTGCAGGAGCAGCAGGAACTTTTCAGCTTGGCTGCTGAACGTTGCATTCGCAGGTTTGGAAAAATGCCTCCTCCCTAGCTTTCGCCCCAATATCCCCTTCAAAAAAAGGAAAAGTATGTGAAATTGCAGGCTGGATTTTTACAAACCAACCTGTAAATGATAAATAAAGTACTTTTTCCATTCCACACTTATCTCAATTTCATCTTGTGCATATACTTCAGAAAGAGCTATGGCAGTACTAGCTCCGTGTCTTAAAAGTTCAAAGGAGTTTGGAGTAACATTCTTTTCTATAGGTTGTGCTGGGGGAAGAAATGTCTCAGCAAGGGTAGCTGTGAGTAGTGCTCCTCTGCTTTCTAAATATCCTCACTCTTGTTTAAGCTGGAGTTGGCAAGCTCTAGGATTCCCTTGGTGTGAAGGATGCCATTCATCCCTCCATTGTGCCATACCCCTTGAAAAACAATCTTTTTTTTCCATGGGTTTTCTTTACAATCATTCTACCTTTTTGTTAGAAAACTAGAAGACAGATGCAGAACAACTTGATCGTAGATGAGATCTTAAAGAAATTGAGGAAGTTTTTAAACTTACATGGAATTCCAATGTCCATGTTAAAGACCATGGTGAAAGATGGTGTTCTTTGTGCCTGGTTTTGTCTTCTGACAGAAAGATCACCATTGTAAACACAATTATGAATGATCATTGAGTTTCAACCCCCATGCTATTTGCAGGGTCGCCAGCCACCAGACCAGGCTGCCCAGAGCCACATCCAGCCTGGCCTTGAATGCCTGCAGGGATGGGGCATCCACAGCCTCCTTGGGCAACCTGTTCCAGTGTGTCACCACCTTCTGTGTGAAGAACTTCCTCCTAATATCTAACCCAAACCTCCCCTGTCTCAGTTTAAAACCATTCCCCCTTGTCCTATCACTATCAACCCATGTAAATAGCCGTTCCCACTCTTGTACAAAACTCCCTTGAAGTATTAGAGGGCCACAATGAGGTCTCCCCAGAGCCTTCTCTTCTCCAAGCTAAACAAGCCCAGTTCCCTCAACCTTTCCTCATAGGAGAGGTGCTCCAGCCCACTGATCATCTCAGTGGCCCTCCTCTGGTCCTGCTCCAAGAGCTCCATGGCCTTCCTGTACTGGGGACCCCAGGCCTGGATGCAGTACTCCAGGTGGGGCCTTGCAACAGTCACAGTGGGACCAAGAATCTTCAGGAGGAGTACTTGGTGAGTCACCGTGGCCATAACTGGATTGTAAAGCTAAGATGAAAACCTAGTAGGTCCTGGTAACAGTGTTGACTGAAGTCATATTTCTTCTTCCAAACAGCTCCAGTACCATCTGGTGCTCTTACATAGCTCAACCAAGCACGCTCCCTGAGAAAAGGAGCCCATGTGGTTTGTGCAGGAGGTCTTGTCATTAAATGAAACTTCCACTGTCTGCACCGGATGGAAGTTCATAAGAGCTAATAAACTTGAGAGGACAGTTTGGTGTGAGCTAGCAGGCAAGGCTGGGTGTGCTGTGGTTGCCAGCTCTGAGCCAAACTAAGCTGAGGGCCCAATTTCGGCCCTATTAATGCCTGGGGTGCATGTGTCTGAGTTTCCTTTTAGCGATGAGTATCTTTACTCTGGACTCTCAGGGTATGATTCTCCTTTTTCACATGATGTTATCGATTGGAAACAAATGTTAGTGGTGAAAAGACAGTAGTATAATAGATGTGAGAAGATAATTGGGCCTTCAAGCACTAATTAGTTAAGCAAATACAGAATTTGTTGAACTTCAAGCTCATCTAAACCTCTGAAGAAGCTCTGCATGTGATATGTGGAACTTTACTGATGTAACTTTAATAGATTGATACTGCTTTTTAAGCTAACTACACTGATGTAGACTTCTGAATGAGGAAAAGTTGACCAAAGCAGCTGACTGTATTGGGAACTATTGAAGACCACCCCAACTTTTCCTTAGCTTTGAGCCACTGAGCATTTACTGCCAGCAGCAGAGCTGAAGGCCTGCCTCCATTACAACCCCTACATCTGAGCATTCAAGACACAGAGGAGGGCTGCTTGCTGCTGAGGCTTTGTTAAAACCAGGAATTCTTCTTTAAAATGGATGTCTGAAAGAGTTATTGAAACTGCTTATCTGCCTGCTGGTGACTTTACCAGTGTTATCCTGCCCTAGTAGGATAAATGCTTCTTTAAATCTGGGGTTAAACTGGACTTGCTTTGGAATAACTTGAGAAAAGGCTATGAACCAGCATACTAATTCCTTTGTTGATTAACATGACAGTGAGTAAACATGAAGCATGTG